TTGTTTGTTTCTAGTTCCTTGCTCCTTGACTAGATACTATTGAGCCAGACCTTTGTTCCTTCAGATACCATACCGTAGCTATTCTCCTGAAGTTGAATAGTTTTACCTGTTAAAGAAAAGGAGTAAATGGCAAGTATATCGTCATTATTCTACCGAATAGCTTAGATCAGCAGTTCCCAAACTTTTTTTTTTTTTTTAATCGAGTGCCTCCTTCCAAATTTACCAGCTGCCTGTGTACCAGCCTATATTTTATCATTTTAACCCCAGTAAACGCCAATTATCATTATTATAATGAAAATTAAATCCGCCATTACACAATTTCTCTCACATACCCCCAAGAGATGTCTTGCATACCTGCAGGGGTACACACAGGTGGCAGAAGGCTAGGGCTAACATCGCTTAGCCCCCTCAAACTAACGTTGCAACTACTTGCAACAGCAGCAGCACCACCATGCTGCCATCCCTCAGTGCTTGATGCTGCTTAGTGTGCAGCCAGAGCAGTGCCCCACGTACATTTAGCTCCACTGCTCCAGCACCACCACTGTGCCCCGCTGCTGCAGTGCCACACCCAGCATCCCTGCCATGCACTCCTCCAGCCCCCACAAATAATGTTTTCTCCTGCCAAGTATGGGTACACATACCATAGTTTGCAAACCCGTGGCTTAGATTAAATCAAGTAGTCCTTTGGAACCATTACAAGATACCTATTTATACAGCAAGTTACAGCATGGTGCTGAAAATTTACATAAAGATTGTTTTTTGTTGGTAAATGGTAAACTGAAATTAGGTTCTATGGCACAGGACCACAGTTTTAGGGACTGGCAAACAAAACCGTAACAGAAGATTCACATGCAAGTTTATATTTAATTATATCTGAAACCAATTTTTAGTGTTTTAGTGTTGAGAAGGGGAGAAGGAGGAGTTTGGACTTAAATTTTTGAAGGGCTACAATATCTTGCTCTGAAAATACAACTAAAAAGAATAAGTTGTTTAAGGAGATAGAAAGGGAGAAGTTGAAAAGGAAAATTGACAAAGTTTGGCAACTAAATTCAGAGCAAAAGAACCATTTATACACCAAGGCAACTAGAGCTTTTGGTGCTTGGAAGAAGTATTTCTTTTCCCACTTCTTCAATGGGGTGGCATTAAGTTCTAAAAGAGATGCCTAAATTCTTTGTTCCAACCTCAGCAACTCTACAGAGAACATCCACCTGGCTCATTACCCTAGTATACCAATATCCATCATAATAATATCGAACAACAATAGATAATGTATACACACTAAAGAGATTTCTGTTTTAAAAATCAACAATTAACTACTTCATAATTTTTAATTGACAAGTAAGTTTTAAAGATTAAATTGCTAGGGCATACCTCTTATAGCTGACGCTTCTGGCTAAATGTAAACTTTGGAAAGAACTACAGGAAACCCTCGCTATTCGCAGGTTCAGCATTCGCAGTTTCAAATATTTGTGAATGCCAAACCCGCATCTTAAATATACTTAAAGGAGCTCCTCAGGAGCTCTGCTCTTACCACCTCCGCACTCCTGCCACTGCGCTCCCGCCACCACAAGAGCAGCTGTGGCCCCCTGCCCCTTCAAACACCGGGGGCACTGTGTTCATGAATGCAGTGCCTTCTTATTCATGGATTTCACCATTCACAGGGGATATGGTATCCCCCATGAATGACAAGGGTCTCCTGTACACATTAATTTAAAAATAGGATGATCTTCAACTCATGGCTAGGAATTTTCTTTCAAATGAAAGCCTGTATTATGGAATTTCTACTTTAACGAGTGACTTTTATAAGTTTCATAATCACAGAATACAGAGGTTAATTTAGAAAATGTGATCAATAAAACTATTTACTACCCCTCCCTCTGGTTTCTGCTTCCTGTTCCACCCCAGAGGACAGGCCAGAGCAACACTGCACATCATGAGCTCTCCTAGCAGTGTGGGCACTAAGGCTCCAGTGCAGCACAGCGGAGAAGCCCACACTCAAGGCGCTGAAGGTGGAGCCAGGGCATCTGCAGCTGTGTACATGGTGCAATGGGGTAGGAAGATGGGAGAGCACCCACATGCTTGGTACAGTGGGGCAGGGTGGGAAAATATCCACATGCCCAGGACAGCAAGGGCAGGAGAGGGAAGTGGGAAATGCACAAGTGCACTGGGCACATGAGAAGGCTCCCTTGGTATCAGAGAATCACCTAGAGGGCCTGTGGCTCTGGCTCACACTTCCCCTTGGTGAGGCCTGCAAGGCATACAGCTCCCAGCCACTAAATTGGATAGCCCTGATCTAATGTACTAACTTTAATACATTATACCATTCCAATGATTTGCAAGTATTGAGAAGGTGAACATGTGATTACAACCTAAGGTACTACCCTGCCCTACCTTCAATTTTAAACAGAATTAAAGCTATGGTGATACATGACAAGCATACACAGTACTTTATTAAAACTAGATATTCCTCTAAAATTGAAATTACTATTATTTGATGTCTTTTTTTTTTTAAATCAGAATGCTGTTGACTTTTATCAACATAAGGGACCTATTTATCTATAGATAAGCTTCCCCACAACCAAAATGATTTATGGCTTATCATTACCATATCAAAATGTGTTTGGCATTAATATAGAATTTGCACAACTGAGAATGATTCCATGTCTCTTTTCAGATGCAATATTTCTTGCAACATTTTCATTATGGCAATGCATGATCCTGCCCATAGAAAAGTGTCCCCACTCTGTTATGCACTGTACAAAAAGAAAAAGACAGATCCTACTTCAAAGAGCTTATTATGGAAGATACTGCTCATTTTTATTACAAAACATGGCCAGGATACTTTAAAAATGAAGTAAGTTTTATAAAATTCCCTTCAACTGTAATATTTTCTTTGTTACCCATTTTATAAACATAGGTATTATGATATACAACATGTCAAATAAGTAACACAATCTTAATTAACTTTCCCTTTATCTCTTCATAACATGTTTTCCTGCATCCTTAATTAAGAAGTTTAAAACACATTTGTTAAGACTGGGGCTACAGCTTGGTTTCAAGCACCATTTATAAACTTTGACCAAAACCATATACAATAGCTAAAATAATAATGCTCCCAATAGACAGCCAAGAAGAAGCATTCAACAAGCAATCAGACAAGTTAAGGAACAACTTGCTCCTTTACATCTCCCTGTTGGCATAAAATACTCCTTTATGCTTCCCTACTGAGGGATTCGGGGAATCTGAATATTTGCACGATGGCACCAAGGACACTATGATTAACTGGCTGCATGCAGTATTCTTTAATTTATTCAGCATGTGACAGAAGGTGTCCAAATGATTCTATGCTACTTCAGTAACTGCAGGCAGGATCAGATGGTCAGTAGCGGTCTATATGCCATACTGGCATGTTTCTGAACTGGCTGTTTTCAATTTCTAGTTTTCATCTTTAAACAAAAGTCAACTCTCTAATTGTGACAGCTGCACAGAGAATTTCAACACCATGAACAGAGCAACTGATGTAAGGATGAGTCTCTAAAATCTGGAACAATGCCCTCTGGCAGATGTACAACACCTACAGAGAACTCTGATGGATCAAGAAGCATGCACATCAAGGTGATCCTGTGTATTGTGATATTGCGTGGGTTTGATTTTGGGTGTTTTTGATACTGGGACTGTATTTAGACCATTGATTTCCAACCTTTACAGACTTCAGGAAGCCCTTGTTAGACTCAAGGCACCCATCAAAAAGTGCCAGCTCATAGCTTTCAGTTATTTTTTGACTACAGAGAACAATAGAGCAATTCTTCTGTTGCAAAAAATTCAGAAAGACCACAACAAGTCAAAATGTTTCTGATGCTATGGATTCTTACTGAAATCTCTGGGTTTATCATGTGAACCATATGTGAGGTATGGTTCACCCTAATGAACACTTTGCAGGTACAAAACAAGGCCCTATACACCCAAGTGGCAGCCTTACGACAAGAAAATCCCACCCTAAGGCTACAGCCAGACCAACCAGCAATGGCTTCAACCCTGAATTGCCATCTCCCATCACTTTCACAAACCTAAGGTTCCATTGCCAGAATACTTTAAGAGCAACCTGGAAAGGTTCCAGGTTGTGAACCAGCACTGCTTATTTACCTTGTATCCCAAAGTAGCCAACAGATAGGGTTAATGTGAGGCTGGTAATCAGCCTACCAGCAGGGCTGTACCTCACCCTGTGGCTCCTTCCTGCTGAAAGGCTCCAGCCCCCTATAGAATGACATGAAGGAGTTCCTTAAGGCTGTGTCAGTGCAATATGTCAACCCCCTTAAGTCACAAACTGCCAAAACAGCCCTGCAGACCCTGAGAAGGGTCACTGGACCATGAAAAAGTATGTGGCCAAGTTACCTCTCCAGCTGGCCCTAGGCTCGTTACAGTACTCTCTATGACACTGAGAACAATCTCTCTACAGGTTAGCAAAGGACTCTGGGACATGTTTATTGTGAGCTACTTAGATGTAACAGTATAGAACAGTGGTGCTCGAACTCTGGCCTGTGGGCCAGATCCAGCCTGCAGAGCCATGTTATCCTGCAAAAGCCAATATACCAAATACTGGTATAGAAAGAGAAGATTTAGCTCTTTCTGAGCTAAACCTATCTGTGCTCGGGAAGGAAAGAGCAACATTAACATAGTAAGTTTAGAGATGAGTAAGTTATTAGCAGCTTCAGTAATTCATGTACAGAATAGGAGCTTTCCCAAGAGTGCAACAAAGTGATGCACAGCAGAGAACAGTTTCAAGCAGTTTACTGTATTTTTTGTAATTACAAGTTTCTGCAACAGCTTTCCAAGAGACACCCGCAGTTCAATTACTGTGTAATCATTCATCGCATGAGTCATAAAATTGAAGTTCTAATGCTCAGCAAAACAATAAGATACTGGAAGTCTTGCATTAAGCAGATTACAATAGGAATACTGAAACAGTGCGACTGTTTTGAATTTAGCTGCATGTCTCTTACCTAGATTTGGAAATACTATTAAGTATTCTGCATTGCACTGAGGACATGCAACTCTAGCTGTGCTGTTTCCTCTCTGCTTTTCATCCACCCAGCGTTGTAGACAAGTCTGATGAACCCATTTTGTAGAGCCCCTGCACCTGCAAGGTCTCACCCACTCTGCTGTTCGATCATCTTCATCAGTGGCAAAACACACCCAGCAACTTCTATAATTAAATAAAAAAAACCATGCATCAGATAGAAGTAGGAATTCACACAATACAAATAACTAAAAATGGTCCTTTACTTACGAAGACATAATTTTACAAAGAACCTAGATGGCTCATAAATTACCATAAGCATCAACACTTCATTTACACAACAAAAACGTTCTTGGTAATGCAACAACGTTATGACCAACAAAATATTCACTTTAAAATATTTTTAATTACTAATTAAATAATTAGTTTTGATAATGTAGAGGTTAGACCATGCCAATATTGTTGGCTCGAAATCAGAATCACTTGATATTTGTAAAATTAATGTTCTCCTTTGTTTTGTCTATGTATCCTTTCAGTCCAAAGTTACTACAAAACAGATGCTTTTCTGTATGCTTGAATTAAGGGCAAAAAATTATGTCAGTAGCCTGTTATCTGAAAAACTACAATTCCAAATGAAAATGTTCTAAGAATATTCCTTTATATAAATCAGTAAAATACTATACAAAGTACCAACACCAAAACTTAAATGACAACAGTGCTATATATGGTAAATTACTGTATGGATTCAAGCCCTCTGCATTCACACACACACACACACACACACACTTTTCATCCAAATAGCTCAAATTACTTGACAACAGGTGGGTTATTTATAAATAGGGATAAGGAAGGAAAAGGGTATGTGACCAGCAGTCAGGAAGCGAACACGGGTCTGCTGCAACTACCCTGCCACCTACTTCCCATACCAGGTAGTGCCATATTAAAACATAGTGCTGCTCTATAAGCACTACCTCTTGAAATGGAAGCGATACAGTTGCATTTACACAACACTGCACAAGAGAAATTAACATCTCTGATTCCAGAGGTATCACATGCAAACAACATGGTGCGTTTGAATGGCACCTTGGATGGCACACTAAGCATATCCATGCTGCTAGTTTACTGTCTGTCCACCTGGGACACAAATTGGAAGATAATATAAAATTGGCTCTGAATTAAACAAGAGTTTCTAAAAGTTCCAAAATTCATTTCATTTTTATTTCATATTTCCTAATTTTATATTCAAGTTTCTGAGTTTTAGAATCTAATGTAACATTTTATAGATTTCATGTTTATATAGTTAAGTAATTCCATATTCTATAGAATGTTAAAATATGAAAGAAATAACTGCAATAATGCTTGAACATTTTTTCAATAGCCTTAATAAATTATAGGTACACCCTTTTAATCCAAATTAGGATATACTGTCACTATTTAATTCGGGGGGTTCTTCATTAAATGCTGGAATTGCCTATGATGCATGTTCAACTCCTCCTTTTCTGGAAAGTATTAGTAACATTATTTCAGCCATTTGAGGATGAAATTAGGAAAAAAACACTGTTTTGTTAGTAATAAGACAAAGAGAGAGAGAGAGAGAGAGAGAGAGATTGATTTCTTTTACTAAGATGCCCTGATCACCTCAGTGTTTTGTAACAGGACTTGAAATTTGGCCGGGAGTGGTGCTTGTCAGAGATGTGACTTTTGCTGTTCCCATGAAAAACTGTCCTGAAAACTCTTCTGTTTAATATAAGCATTTTATTTTGATAAAGTCAAAAGTAATGAAAAGCAGAGTCTCACAACAGAAAAATGACAGTCAACTGTAACCATAATGTCGAGGCCCATGCCACCTACAATGTTTTTTTCCCCAACCATTTTAGATCATACTATCTGTAGTTCTGCCAATTAAAACTTAAAAAACTAAATTTACTACTATATTTACCTGAATCCAAGGTGACTCTGACTTTGAGACAACCCCTCAATAATTAGATGCTATACATAGACATTTTATAAATTTGTTATAATTTTTCCAAGTATAGAATCTAATTATTGGAGGATCATCTTAAATTCATCATCCCTACCACTGCAGCAGGGACAGTAGTGGCAGGGAGGTAGATGGTATGAGGCAGTCAACTTGCTTTCTACCTCCTGTCCGCCACCACCACTTACTTCCCTTTGTGCCTGCCCCACTTTCTCCAAGCAACTGCTACGGGGCTGGGCTGGGTCTGTGCTCCTGTGTACCAGACTAGAGCAAGGACAAACCCTGCTGGTGCTGAAGCAAGTGTAAGCAGTAGGAAGGGGGCAAGGCAGAGGAAGGGAGGATGATGGG